AAATTATCGTCCTGTGTCGCTGTTGCCAACCTTGTTGAAAATCTTGGAGAAGATCGTGTATAAACATATTTACAATCATCTTATAACTAATGAGCTCTTGTACGCCTTTCAGTCAGGTTTTGTTAAAAATGACTCTACTGTTTCTCAACTTGTCTATATATGTAACCTTATTTTAGACGCATTTGAAAAGGGCAAAGAAGTGTGCTCTGTATTTTTGGATTTCTCTCGAGCATTTGACAAGGTGTGGCACGCCGGCTTGATCTTTTAAACTTCAGCAATATGGTATCGAGGGACCCCTACTGAACTGGTTATCTAACTATTTATCTGATTCGTTTTCAAAGTAGTTAGTTCTTGATGGTCAAACGTCTCCGTGGAGGAAGGTGGGCGCAGGTGTCCCCCAAGGTTCCGTGTTGGGCCCACTCCTTTTTATTGTATATATTAATGATATTGTAAATGATCTGGAAACCTTACCATGTTTATTTGCAGACGATAGTTCTTTGTTTGAAATTATTGAAAATCCACTTACTTCTGCATACAGACTTAATTCTGACCTAATTCTAAAAATTTTAACTTGGTCTAACACATGGCTGATGGAGTTAAATCCATCAAAGACTGAGGAGATGTGTTTTTCCGTGAAAAAAGCCCCCCCTAAACACCCCCCTCTTTTTCTTGGGACAACCCAAATTACAACAGTCACATCGCATAAACATATTGGTGTAATTTTAACTTTTGACATGACCTGGAATAACCATTTAAATTATGTATACGGCAATGTTTCCAAAAAGTTAATGTTTTTAGAGGCCTAAAGTTTAAACTTCCTCGCCGTGTGTTAGAAACCATTTTCAAGTCCTTTATTCGGCCCAGTCTTGAGTATGCCGACGTGATCTGGCACAGCTGCACAGCTGACCAATCTACCCTCATTGAGAGATTTCAATATGAAGGTTCACTTGTTGTGTCTGGGGCAATCAAAGGTTCTTCTTATGCAAATGTACGCCAGGAATTGGGGTGGGAAACACTTAGTGATAGACGACATATCCACCGTTTACTGTTATTCTATAAGATAGTTAACGGACTAACACGGAAATATTTACTTGATCTCCTCCCCCCTGAAATATCTTACACAACATCTTACCATTTAAGAAACAAACAAATTTTAGACTTTTAAAACATTCTAGTTATAGATTTGGTAAATCTTTTGTCCCTTATTGTGTAAGTCATTGGAATGCATTAGATTCCAAGGTCCGCAATTTAAAGTATTCACTCTTTCGAAGGTATCTTATTAAAACAATACGCCCAAATCGCCCCTTGCACTTCTCTTATGGTCCCCGATACACCTGCGCCCTCCTTGCTCGTTTTCGCATTGATACCTACAGCCTTAACTACAGTCTTTTTAAACGTGGCTTGGTTTCAAGTCCATCATGCGTCTGTGGGTGCCAATCCAAAACCATCTTTCATTTTATGTTTGAATGTCCCATATTTATTCAACACAGAACGAACTATCTTGGTAACTTGGCAAAAGAAATCGGTCACCTGTTGGATTTTAATTCTTTATCTGACACGGCAAAACTTCACCTTGTTTTTCGAGGGTCATCTTTATTATCTGCTGATTATAACTCAAAAATCATGTTACTTACACAAACATATATTTATGAGACTCAGCGCTTCTAGCTCTTTTTGACTGAGTTTGTCAGTGGAAATGATATAGAAGTCACTCGTCTCGTTTCATACAGATACTCACTTGTTTCTAGTGTTTGGGGGGAGGTGGTGTTGGTGTTGGTGCACATCGTTTGTTTCCAATCGTTTTTTGTTGACAAACACTGTTAATATGATGTTGTTTGTTTAAGTGGCGCTGTTAATATAAGTATTGTTTACTTGAGTGCAGCGCCACTTTGTCTTTGTCCTATTTGTTGAATAAAAAATAAAAAAACCATACCTTGTTCCCGAGGCCACACCCGAGATTTATGTCCGTGGTTCTCAGACATTTTATATTAAAATACTAGACAACTCTAATCTGACGATATTCACTCATTAGTAGTATAGTGCTAACAAAATCACAGGTATTCCTCTCAGTCTCTCACACGTGTCTGTGCTTTACACTATTTCTATGCAAGAACAAAATACGTAGGAGTGATCTAGAGATGTTTTGTGAAGCTCCAGGCCAAATCTTTGGTCTCTTTTTTATACGGAGTTCAATTCTGGTCCTTTTCCCAATAATAATGATTGCTTTACCTTACCATTGCCTATGCTAACTCAGATACGAGAGGCTGCTGGGACATCGGTCCTCCTGACTACGGCAATAGAAGCCCTATGAAGAGGTTCTACTACGTGGGAGAAAGGATCGCCTTCACCTGCAACGAGGGATACTACATAAAGCCCGGGTATCCTACCGAAGTGAGATGCGGCGAAGGAGGCTTCTGGCAGTATGACAAGCCCAGTTGTTCAGGTGAATGACTATTAGGTCTGAGTACGCCTGCATTTTCTACACTTGCACAATTTAATTTGATGCAGTTAAGAAGAATAACTAAGTCCTTCTTATTGCCAAACCTATTAAAATATTTTATTTTAAATATTCTTCTAATGTTATGTACATTAGTTAAGAGCGAGAAAGTTAAGCTTTCTACCTCCTTTGCACTGTCATGTTTCATTTATTATGGTTTCACCATGTAGGGATGCAGTGAAGATATATTGTTTTCCTCATGTTCCTACTTTCTCTTTTCCTCTTTATGTCAAGTCTTCAAATGAATTCAATATCTTTATTTATCACCGGCCACCCCCAAACGTTTTTTTTTAGTCATATTCATAATACAGGCTTTTAGAACGGTTTAATTTGGACTTCTTGGCTGTGTCATTGGTAATGTACTATAGCAGTATGGTTTACCATATTTAGAGTGTTACCATATTTGGGCATGGGGGCAGGGGTTCCATGTCCAAATATGAGCAAAAAGACAGTAGCGGGTGTGGCCATGTTTGTAGATGTGGTTCCTATTTGGCTATTCGCTAATTAATTAAAAAAGACCTGCGTGGTGGCACATACTTGTCTTTTTGGCTAGGAAAAAGGAGGGAACTAAGTTATAAATAAATGGAAATATGACACATAACCTATATTTTTTATATACCTTGCCATTTTTTAAACATTTTTTTTTTAAATTTGGTTTAAAAAGTCTTTCAACCAAGTTAGCTACAGATATATGTAGCAGTGTGATAGGTCATTGACCTTTATTGACATTGTTTCCTATGATTATTGGGGTCATCTGTAAAGATTTGGCATAATGTCTGGTGCAATTTTATGTACCTGCAACATGCAAATACATGGGCCCACTTGTAACTACATAATATGATTCTTCCAAGAATAACCATAACATTGAGTATTGGAAATGGCTGTGTGTGGGGAGGGGGACAGATCCATTTTTGGTACGCGGGATGTGGTGAAGCCATTTGCTGCATTTGCTCCCGAGCAAATGTGTGCTTCTTAGGATTCTTTGTTAAGGTCCTAAGTAAAGAAATAAACAATAGTCATAATTCACAAAAGTATTTTTAAAGTAAAACACATCGAACGCATGAACAACATTCAAACTTATAAAGTTTTATTAGATTTCTTTTAATATAAAATGTAAAGCCAAAATATACCATCATGATCAATCTCAAAAATCTGTTGATATAGATTCTTTATTGACACAACAAAAAAGTACAGAGACTTTTGTATGGTCTTCTACATCTTAACTAAAGATCTAACAAAGCTAAATACATGTGTGGATAACGTTATCTTACGTACAGAGTATATGTATGATGTAACAATAAACTTAAGGTTAACTATTCTCTAACATGTGTTCTCTAAGATCGAAACATTCTTTAATGTATTTTCCTATTTGAACACTGTATTGGTTATCTCCCCTGAGAGTAGATGTACGAGTAATTGCATTTATCTATAGGATCTAACGTATTGAAATCAATTGAACAAGCGGAAAGAAAGGTGAACAGCAATAGGCGCTTATCATTGTAGAGTGTACAATTAATCCATTATAAAATGGTGCTCATCTTGTTTGGACAAAATGGACAGAACCTTTGGTCATTTGGTATTTTCTTGTATCGACCCGTTTCTATGTTTAATTTATGACAACGCTTTTCGGATATCTAGATTGTGTATACTTGAGAGGTATTGTTTTTATCCATAATTTTCCTTTAATGCGGTATAAACAGAAAGTTTTGCGTTGTTACCTCCATGAAAAATGGAGGTATTGTTTTTGGCGTGTCTGTATGTCTGTGTGTGTGTGTGTGTGTGTTTTCGCAACTTTGTAGTCAGCATAACTTCAGAACGCCTTTATGGATTGTAATGATATTTGGTATGATGGTAAGTCTTGGAAAGACAAAGGTCAAGGTCAAGTATGGGCCTCCTGGTGGATGACATTGGTACTGCAGCGGAACTTCTGGTTTTTGTATCTTTTGTCCTGAACAAGCTATGGTCTTGACTTTTTGCTGACTAGCTTGTCCTGTCAGGAATAAGTGGCGTAAGTTTGGTCCCCCTAGCAGCTTGTTCTGGACCTGCAGGTTAGTTTCTGGTAAAAACTTTCAAAGCCAATAAGTCCAGATTGGAACAACGTATTTTCATCATTTTTGGTGATGAGAGACAGTTGTACATGATTAATGCAAATTATGCAAATGAGGATTTCATTTGCATAATTAATGAGGGAATTCTATAATTACAGTGTTTCATATAATGGTACTGCTATACAATCATGTAATCTATTTAATCTGTGGCAGGCGGAACATCAACAGATACCAATTATGCCAATGTGGACCTAATTTGCATAATTAATGTGAAAATTCTGTGAATCCTTATTGGTGAATGATGGAAATTTTATACCTGTAACATGTGTAAGTTACTTAAAGGTTTGCATTGCTATGCATATATTATGTTAATGTTGAGGTTATTTGCATAATTAATGAGGACATAATTAACAAAGCAAGCCCATATTTCATGGAGGTATGAGATCCCGGAACTCTTGTTACTAATAGAATTATACCATTTTTTAATGTATATATCTTGAAGGCGGGATCGTTATTAATTGGTTATCGCTTCCACCTGGTATGACCCGGGGTTCGTCCAGAATTGTCCAAGACCATTGTCATTCAGAATGTCGTTTACGTGGTTAAGCCAATCGTGATTACCAGAATATAAAACATCGTATGCTTCACGAAGTAAGGTGTCTTCGGGCAAGTTTACAAAACGATGCCAGTATTTTATTAGTTGTGTGTATTTCAGTATCTATTATTATTGGAAAGGTTCCTAGTTCTCCACGAACACCATCATTTGATGCTTTTGTATTAACTCTAAGTAAAAATTTTTGAAAGTTCATATCGATGGTATCAAATTCTGGAATATGTTGAGAAAGATGTATATTTTAAATTGAAAAGTTGTCGTTTTCTAATTTTAGACGAGACGCTAGATTAAAAAACATGTCCTTATCTGTCCTTCTTTCAAAATGAATCAAATATGTGTGGGCACAAGTGGAGCTTAAACTCTTTCTAACCGAAGCAAGAATGTTTTCCTCTATACCAAGTTTCTTTAATACAGTTGAGAAAATGTTTTTTGGTGTGGATTCTGAAATACGCGTAGAAACATTAAGTTTTAGTGTTTTAGATGTTTGGTCGAAACATGTTAATTCGGATCCATATAGAAAAATCGGCTTCACAAATTTGTTGAAAATGCTTTTTGCTAATTGAATTGAAATGTACGTTAGTTTCAGAAAACAAAAGAGATTTAAGTTTGAATATCGCTCTCATTGCTTTAGTTTTTAAATATTTTCTGGCGGTTTAAATTACCGAGATAAGTGTAGCTGTCGGTAACTTCAATTTCCTTTCCGTACATATAGAATCTATTTAGACATTTGTTTGGTGTTCCCTTCGCAAATATAAGAACTTTGGTTTCAGTTACATTAACACTCAATTTCCATCTATTGAAGTATGTTTCTAAATTGTTTATACAGTTCTGTAGACCTGTATAAACAATTTAGAAACATACTGCAATAGATGGAAATTATATGTCTTCCTAACGATAGATATGTATTTCTCTTCCTCAGCGAATTTCGAGGATAGGCTGAAAGCCGACCTACTCGATGTGAACAATCGCAACCTGGCACCTGAGCCTGAGAGCCGTACCCAGCCTGAGAACCCTAACGACACTGGAAACCCTACTGACACTGACAACTCTAGCGACACTGGAAACCCTACCGACACTGACAACCCTACCGGCACTGACAACCCTACCGACACTGACAACCCTACCGACACTGACAACCCTACCGACACTGACAACCCTACCGGCACTGACAACTCTACCGGCACTGGGAACCCTACCGGCACTGAGAACCGTGCTGAGACTGACAACTCTACTGAGGCAGAGACCCCTACTCGGATTAAGAACCACATCCGACCCGTCATCAGCTTTAATGGATCTGTAGAACAGATCGTCGACTTGGTGAGTTTCAGTATCTGTAACACATTTCAAATCCTCGTTGGTTTATAACAAATAGACAGTTCGTGGAGGGATCAAAACATAACTGACCGATGCTGTAACTTTTCTTTCAGGAGGAAAAGAAGGAGCAGCTGGTTGCCTCTGTCGTCATCCATTTCGTAAGTCCACGTAGTTATTAAATATCTGTGCACTTAGAATAATATCACATTCATATAATCATGTCTCGTTTTTATTAGGAGGTTTATGTGTTTTGCTATCATCATCATAATTTTGCTATACTTTGCTGTATAATTCTTTGCTGTAACCTACACAGTAATAATTTGTTTCTTGTTACTCCAGACATGGCAGGACAGCCGACTGAGCTGGGATCCAAAGTACTACGACAACATCGAGACTATCAGCGTCCCTGGCAGCAGCATCTGGACCCCTACACTCACTCTGAAGGGGAAGTATGTAGTGTCTTTTAAAACTATTATCATTGAATCGAAAACGAACCATGCCTGATCTGTTGTTTTTTAACTGTCCTGAACTGCAGAAAATAGCATTTTACTTGACTTGATGTAAGATAATTAAAGAAAATAACATTACACTGATTTTAAGTCTTGTATGTCATTTAAAGTACCCGTTAAATAAAAATGATCCTGTAGTGCCAAACATTACACAATTACCTTAAAATATAACTAACAAAATGACCGACAATACTTTTTGTTGACACTGGGATACAATGCTAGGAATGGTTTAATCAGTTTGACACTAGATGATGGTTATCTTACCAGTAAATTAACTTGTCAAAAACGTCTGATTACTCCACAGTGCTAATCCTTTATACCAAGGCCTACCAAAAATCGTACCGGTCTGGATCAGTAGCGATGGCCAGGTAACCTGGAGTGTAGAAACCCTGACCACCACCGTGTGTGATGCGGACCCTTTCTACTTCCCTGCAGACACCATGGAATGCAACATCTGCTTTGCTGCATTTTCTGCAACCATCGGTATGAAATTGGAAGTATTTTATAAAAAAGATGTCGACATTAAAATAATTGTTCTGAATATAAATCAATAAATAAAAAATGATGTAAATAAAATATGATATTTTATCGGAGCGATCTGGCAACTGTTTGTCACGGTTGACATTCCTTGAACATCCCGGTCACTGTCTACATCTGACTATAT